ATCATCATTCAAATGTTTACTCTGTCTGACCGCTAAGTACTTTTGTGGAGTTCAATTTTATCCAGACCTCATAAAATCTATCCTGACCTCCAGTTGCTCAGTATTGGTTACAATAAAAGGGAGTCATCTTCAAAGACTGCTTAAGCAGTGCATGGAAATAATTGAAACTGCAGTATCCTATAGTGACATTATAATGGGATGAAAAAAAATATACTCTGTAATAATGGGTGTGGAAAGTAGATTGCATATTTGGCATGAATGAATAGAGCTTTGTAATTACATCAAATCCCTTTCACGGTACTGAATCTGCAGAAAGCAAAATATAATGGAAGATGCTAAACACTGATGGTTGAGCCAACTGATATTATAGAATTATATCATGGGAAATGTTGAAAATGTTTTTAGTGCCAAATTTGCCAAATATACAGTGCCTGAAATTGTACAACAGACAGGTTGCACTAGTATAGTAAAAAATGGTAGTGAGATTTGAAATTTATCAATAGGACTACCAGATGTTATTTTTTAAGGAAGCACAAACTGAATTACACTTTTAGTTTGTATTATATGTAGAGAAAAAAAAATGGAACAATATTTTTTGCATTTATGTAGAGCTTTATTTGTAGGAGAGTATATGTTTCAGCCTCCATGGAGGTGCATCACCTACTGTACCTGGGTGACATGCACCTAGCCATTACATTCATATTATCCTCAAAGAGATATCTATCTTTGGTTCGCAAAAAGACAAAAGTCATACATCTGTTTACTACTGCTGGTTTCTTGCATGACTATTATATTCTGTCCCCAAGGTAATTAATATTACTTAATTTAGATTATCAAGGAGTAGAAAATACCTTTTCTGCCCCTTTGTAAATAAAAAGGTCTTCATTATTCTTAATGAGGCTCTAGATCTTTAACTTCATTATCCTTTATTATGGTTGTGACAGGAACAAATGGCTGCCATAAGAGGTCATTGTGTAGACCTCACTGAGTATCAGATTGCTAGGGTTGCCAGGGGCAACTCAAAGTCTAAGGCCTGTGTACAGGCCTAGATTTAACAGCTGTGCAATGGAGTCTGCATGCTGGGATTAGAAGACATGGAGAACATACTGTGGTGAAATTTCAAACGGTGAGGGCTGTGTTCCTCCATTCATGGTCAAACCCTGTACTTCTTTTTATTTTAGACTACGTCTCACTGCCATCTGTGCACACTGGCATATCAATCATCCTAGGGGAAAAGGTTTGCATTGTTTGAACACTAATTAAAAGTCAGGCCACATAATTCATCATCCACAAAAAGAGATAAAAGCAGATCAAGTAGGGTCCTGCTGCTACACTCATTTTTTTTCATAGACCAAATGGGACAATTCCCTGCACTGGCTGGTCTTCCTTATGATGTGATTTATTTTGAGAGAATTCCAACAAGTTAAAATACTAAAATACTAGATACTAAAGATATGGAAAGAAAATATGATAACTTGATACAGTGCGAAAAACAATTTGTTCTGGACTAAAAATCTAGACTTCTGAACAAGTGCTTGTTGTAACAAGAGCCACCAAGCTCTGTGAAGTTAGCACTCCTACAAGTATACAGTGTACAGCATATTGTGCCATTGAAGTATATTGAAAAGATAAATTGAAAGATCCAGCTCCTTCTTTTTGGGGGGTGTGACGTCACTCAGCCACCCTAAAATGGCGATAAGAATGATGTGACTCCCAGAAAAAAAGAAGGTGCTATATTTCTGGAATGAAACCACACCAGATGCTACTTTCAAGAGCACAGACTGAGCAGAAATAAAGGAGATCAGTTTGGTTCTCCTGGACCATTCTGGAATATAAGCAAATGAGGGATTTCACATCCCCAAAGAAAAAAAGCTCTATACCTTGGGAAAGAAAGCAGCACAAATGCTACTTTTAACCTATAAACCAGCACAAATGTAGTAACAACAAATGTGGTGGGTTTTGTTGTTTGCATGGGAGCTGAGCCACAACCCTGTTACCAACGAAATCAGCTAAAGAATACAGTACATCACACTCCTGTCTGAACACGTTTCTATAGGTTTGTGACAGACCCCTTTCATTCGTAAAACTATGAACATTGGAAAAAGTTTCATTCAGTTGACTCAGAAGACTGTACCCATACAAAAAGGATGAATCTTTTGATTCTTAGTCCCACTGTCAACACATGAATGAGTTGAGAAGTCTGTTTACAAACACCAAGTTTTCCTTTTATGATTCCATATTGCAGGCTGTATGATGCAAACTCCAGTATGGATTCATGAACAGCTAAAACTGAGCTGGTCATGTGATAAACATTTTGTAGAACCTGGATGAGAATCTCTGAAACTCACAGGAAAAAGAGTATGTCTCCAACAATTCATGCTTAGACAGTTCACCTGGCAAAATTATTAAAGTTTTTTACTCCTACTTGACAGAACAGTTTCCATCTATTCTACACACCATTGGTAGCCAAGTAGTGTTAAGTCAGTCATCGTACCACTAAATTATCCTTATCACTAATTATCACTATTAACATCCTTCTCTGTTTCCTGTGGTGTCTTCTTTGTGCAATATTAATGATTAGCATAGAGAAGAAAACCAGCAGTGTCTTAGTGTAAATGCAGAATTATATATTATATATCTGAACACCACAGCAGAGATTGTAAAAGGAAAAAAATCCATATCCCAGTTCCAATTGTCTTACTGTACTGTACATATTCCAACATTTGACAATATAGTATTCCATGGTCTAGAATCTTAGATGTTAGATGAGTCCAATAGCAATGCATGGGGAATTTGTTTTGATTCCTTCCAGGCCCTTATCAGAATATATATTTCTAAAATCCACCATTTTAGAAAAGTTACTGCTTGTCTGGAACATTCCAAAGTTTAAGGGAATGACATTGCATTCATGTGCTCAATTCTTGGCTAATTGTTATGTCTCTGGGTAGTCTAGATTGCTTTAACCTAACCCAAGGTTGCTTGGTAACGCTAAACTGTCCATTCCATCAAGAGTGGAAGTAGAGCCACCCAGCTCATGAGTCTGCTGTGTTTTTCAAAGATGATCCTAATAATATACATTTGTGTTATGGTTCAGATGAAGATGAGCAGTTTTACTCTTGTTCTTCATGCAGGCAGGAAGAGTGTATCAGATGAGTTATTTGAAGTTATTATGGATTGGAGACTAGCTCCTAGCCAATCATTTTCTAATTTGACATTATAATAATTGATACATAAGAATGTAATTATTATTAAAATAATGTTAGATAATGGAGATTGTTAATTGAAGCCAGGGGACATGCTTCATCTCCAAAACGAATAAACATGAAAGCTTAAAATTTACCCTCTTTTGATAAAAAAGACCTACTTCTATTTTATGGTCATGTTTTGCCTGGGTAGAAAGGCACAGGCAATTTCTATTACACCTGAAAAGGACCAACCATGAAATGATATGGAAAATGTGGATTCATCTCTACTTCTGAGTTATTTAATTCTGATTAACAGGGTTCAGCAATTGCTTTGATGTCAAGCACATGCAGTAAATGTTTTAGAAAATGTTTTGAAACTTATAAAGTTAAGACAAAGAAGCTTTTGTCAAATATAGCTCTGTTTTGAGATTTTATTTCTGACTTAATTAATTAAAACAATGTTGGGAGTTCTCCTATGCCCTCTTATATTTTTTGCTGCAAATGAGAAAAGTGGTATAGTCATGTGTAATTACATTTTCCTTTCAAAGCATTATAAAACACAAAGTATCTCTGTCCACAATGAACATTTAGCATCTTCTTTTTTAAAATTTAAGTAGGCTGGAATTGTACATTGACTGGCAGTGACCTACTGTAAGGCAAATCAACAAAGCAAAAAGAAAAAGCATTCCTCACCAAAATTGTAGAATGGTTTCGTCTCTGAATAAGGATTTAGAATTACAGATGATTCAGTTGACATAAGTACCAGCATAATTAAGTTATATCTTATACTGTATATAACAGTTGAAAATGGTTAGGGATGTCTTTTTATTGTTTATTGTATATATTTTATTACAGTTTCTGAATAAGAATCTTAAAACAGGCTAATTTTTAAGATTTTGAAGGTCAAGGTTAAAATCTTAAGATAGGTTTTTATTGACAGGTATAAACAGACAGGAGTTTTTTTGTAAAGCAACAGATGGATGACCACTTTTCATTTAATCAGGCTCCCAGTTAAACAGGTCACTCGGTATCATTAGACAAAAGAAATACCAAATGGAAGATCATATTAAGCAAAGGAAACAAGACAATCCTTGAACACTCCCTGCTGATGATTCAAGAAGACAATCAGTACTCTTCTCAGCTGTCCTACACAGATAGTATCAGACATCTGAATGTGTTATGTTGTAGCCACAGAACAGTTCCCAAGTTAGCCTTATTCCCTGGTGTAACCTCAGTGTGAATTAAAATCCCTGCTATCATATGCTCTACAAAATATGAATTGCAGCACCTGTTGTCAATGTATACCTGAAAGTGTCTGACTATGTTTTACACTGCATCTGAGAAAAACTGATTTTAATCTGTGAATGTGATTATTTTCCATTCCAGGCCAGAAGCTCCTGAGGTATGTCAAACTACATTTCCGAGTAATATGACAAATCTAGGTCACCAAATAGATAGAAATGATACAATCCTTTGAATGTTTAAAGGCCTGAAAGAGGGAAATCAATAAAAGCCGCACTCTCAGGTTGAATTACAGTATATCACAAGGAACCCACAGATGAGTGTAACAGTGCTTTGGGTATGCTACATCTGGTATTTCCACATGGACTGTCCCAGAACAGCTGGTGTTCACTACAACATAATATGAAGACTGCAGCAGAACCACAATGATTTGTAGAAAATGAAGACACTGTTAAATCATAAATAAACAGTCTTAAATCTAGTCTTCGTTGATCTTTAAATTCAGCACAAGAGAGTGGAGGGAGACTCTGAGAGTGCAGATGATAGCAAGAAGGTTCAATCAAGAAGTCTTACCAGGTTCTTGTATGATGAGCTGAGCAGCCACTTGCGCGTTCCCTGCTTCGTTCTCAGCCACACATTGGTAAAACCCCTCGTCTGATTTTACCAGACCCAGGATCTGAAGGTTACTACCACCCTGCATTAAAAAGGTCTTACTTAATTTTGCATTTTGTACAAATGTGTATTTTGAAGCCTAGCCTTTAAACCATTCATATTATTATACACTATATTATGAATGATCTAAACCTATTTCTTGTATATGTTAAGAAAAAAAAGCCAAAAGAACTGTTGGTAGACTTGACTTTTGCAGTTGTTCAGTTTCGTTATGTGAAGGATTCCACAATCAGTTCTGTTGAGTCTTAATTAAGTTATAGACGCAGGATCTACTGAAATCCATTCATGAAAAGCCAATGTTCGAAATCTCGGTAACATTCTACTGATAGGGTGTAGGATTGAACTTTTTTTTTTTCCAGAATGTTTAATAAATTCTTCTTCATTTCAAATTAACATCTTGTTCAGTTTGGAAACACTGTTTAGAGAAGCTGGAAATGAAACATTTTTTTTATCATTATGCTTGGCTGTAATCCTTATATTCATTAATATGTGCACATCCCTGAACGGATTACTGTCTTCTCTTTTATAACATAATGTGGACATTAACGAGGCAGTAGTTCTAAGTGTGAAGGCAGCTCAATTTGTCCACCTATAACTTGGAAAGGTGTTTTGTGAGTCTGTATGGGGATAAAGGGATGTTCCCTGATGAACAAAAAATATACCGGTCTATTAAATATTGTGTTCTGTGTTTTCTGAACACACTTTTTTCCTCAATTACCTTCAAGGTCTGGAAACAATATATACTGTAGATACAATGATACTGATAATTTTGATGACTTTTTTTTACTTTGATTCTTGGATTACCAATGCTTTTGTACCTCGAAACAACTAAGGAATACCCGTATTTCTCTTTAAGAAAATATCATGGACATTGATAAGGAAGCTGGTTTGAAAAGATGGAAGCATGATTTTGTCCACTTTACAGACCTGTACATATCAGTGTTGGGGTGATGTGTGTGTCGCCTAAAACATTATTTGGGTACGTACTGTACTGTACTAGTCCTACTGTTTAAATTTTTGCAACTGTTTAATAATTGCAATAATGGTTGTCTGAGAAAAAACACATCATTAATGCTTAATTAGGTGAAGTTTATATAACATGTGTAACACACACCCTCTTTGGTTTGTTTATCATTCCCAGGAATAAGCTATATAGCTGCTATCAATGTCTGTCATATAATATAAAAGAGGGGACATTTATCTTTTGAGGCATAACAAACATATTAATTAATCTAGGGATTGCATTGAATAAACATAAGCAATATTGTTTTCATTTCCGTCTTCTCTGGACAAGGTGTTTTCAAACCTTTGCACGGTTCTGTAGTTTATCTAAAATAATCCTGGGACTTAAATGTAAACTCAGTAGAAACAGATTCACTAATGAGATGATTAAAGAAATAAACTTAGCTTGTTTAAAATTTTCACTACACCAGGTTATACTGTCAAGTCATTACTTAATGTTCTTTCAAGAATTACAATCATTTAGGTTAAAGGGCTTGTGCAAACACCAATGGGTGTAAGATTCCAGTTCATTATCGTTTTATGTTTCTTCATCTGCATTCCAATTACTAATTTAAGTTGTACAATAAATTCCAAAATACTAAGGTGACATGCGTACTGTATATACTGTATATAAAGGTGTTTTATAGCCCTTAAAGGGGAACTGCAGTCTCAATATCTCAGAACGGTGATTAAATCTCAGTAACAAACTAATTTAATTGAAAGTACTGCAAAATTTAACAAATTCTGAATTAACCATAGAACATATGCACGAGCTTGCTTGTTTACAATGTAATGGGGCCGCTTCATGTCCCTGTATTGTAAAATTTAGTAAAATGTATTTATCCTTTTAAGTGATGGAATAACCAAATAGTAAAATATCCATTTAGGAAAACATGTGAAGTTTAGCTTTTAGACAAACATTAAGTTAGAAAAAGCGCTAGACGAGGAGTTCAAGAAAAATTTTGAACCAGCTGGTAACTTATAATACAGTAGGTCATGTTGGAATGGAGCTGCATTTATCTGCAAACTCTTGCAGTCAAATGAATTTTCATAGGTGAAGGTTATCCTAGTTAAAAAGAACAATTTGCAACATTGTTCATGTCTTATGAACAGTTGTCTTGTTCCTAACAAAGATGTTCACTGTGAAGTATCAGTGCATTATTTTGTAATAATACAAAATCATTTAAATGTGACGGTACAGTATATCCCTTTTAAAATATTTTATTTGTTACTGTATTTATACAGTAGTGATGTGATCTTTAAAATGACTGGTTAATAAAACATAGTATTTAAAAAACATTACCTGTATCCAACAATACGTCAGACCAATAAAAAACACATTACATGATATTATGAGCTTGGACAGATTTTAAAGAGATGTCAGAAAACATCAAGATTAAGCCTATCATAGCTAGAGACTGTCATTCCCATTAGCTGTTACACATTTTCATTACAAAATCCACTCTTATTCTCATCATAATTATTGTTTCAAGATCCAAAAAAGGAATGGTAGTAATATATTTCTTGAAAAAGACTTCATACAGTATTTACATTTTTATATCTTCTGACCTGGAGATGTTTAATTATAAAACATTCTAGTAGGATGACAAGTCATTACTCTGTAAATCTTACTTCAATTAAATTAAATATAGAATGAATACAATATAGCTAATGCAGATTCTAATATCGTATTGTTTAATGACATAAGCTAAACCAATTTACTTTTTAGATTATTTTTGTGGGCCTCAAACCTAAATTATATTTAGCCCTTGCCTTTAAAGCACAAATGTAAATATTTAAGTTTGCACCAGGCAGTTGTCTACTGTTTTCCTATCAGTTCCAAAAGTGAAGATACTTTGACAAAGTGACACAAATGTGATGTTGGTAAGACATTTACCTGTATGCAAAAATGAAATCCTTAAGAATTCAGGTCTTGGTTTTTGTTTCTGCTTTCAAAAACTTCACCTAAGAATTGTGATGCTTATGTTTTTTTAAAGACAAAGAGACTTGCAAGAAAATGAAAACTTCCAGTAAAGTTGTTAAATGTCCCTGAATTCATATGTCAGCAGGGTAAGTGCTCTGAATGTCGTATCACAGACAATCGTGATACTGTATATTCAATATTCTAACTATAACCTAGACTTTTACAAATATTTTGTATGAATATCAGTTTACAAATTCCAATAACATATTACATATTGGCATGATGTAGATATAACATTTTATTTCTTCAGCTGATTATTTTAACTCTTGTTTACTTACTATGATCTGAAAGTAATCACTGGGAATGACCACCTCCCCATTCTTCACCCAGCGGACTGTAGGAGGGGGTTTTCCAGTCACAGCGCATTCCATCTCAATGTCCATGCTCTCAAAGGCATACAGATTAGAGGGGTTATTCAAAAATCTTGGAGGCACTGCAAGTCAAAGAAAGAATACAGTATTTAAAAATGAAAGAATCAACCATTTTTAATAAAAATCATACCTTTAAGGGAAAGTTCGGGTGCTGTATATAACAACGTAAGAAAGGTTCCAAACAAAAAGAGGCCATTGGACACATTTAGATTGTTTGGTTGCTAGTAACTCCAAGGATCCAAGGAGCACGTCCATCTGTTTCTTGAAAGAAGCCAAGGTTTCAGCTTCAATAATGGCTGGATAGTTAATTCTAAAATGTCAGTGTTTTCATAGGCTTTCTCTAAAACACCTGGTGATGTATCAGCTTGTCAGTTAATAACAAATGCCTCCATTTTAAATTCAAAACCTTTTTTCATGCTGAATTATCATCAGAGTTACAAGCAAGGTTCAGTGCTCAATATTATGTGTGCCTGCTACAGAAATTGTATGCTATCCAATACACAAGTAAGACCTTATTTAGAAAATTGCTCATACTTTTGTCACCACATTAAAAAAAATATATATATTTATAATCTGAAATCAGTCCAAGGAAGATCGGTCAGATGTATTCTTGATCTTAAAGGAATGTCTTATGTACTGTCTGGATAAAATAACTAAACCTTTTTTAATGAAGACGACAGAGAGTGGGTCTGATTCAAGTTTTCAAAATCTTCAAAGCCACTATGTCAGCTCTATAGACTTCTTCATAATGAGCACTAAAACATAAACTAGGGGACAGAAATGGAAATAGTTTGATTAAAACTAGGAAAAGGACACATCTGATAACAGAGTAGATTGTGGGAGCTTGGAAAAGGCTAACCAGCCCGAGATGTAAAAGTTGATACCCTCATTCAGATTCAGATCTAATTGATACGATACAATATAAATTACAGTTTCATACTGCAAGTCATCGATTAGAAAAACACCCAAAGAACTGGATGGCATTTTCTCGTTTGCAAACTTTCTTATGTACTTAAATTCTGACCCTACCCAAAATGTACATTACTAAAGTAGTTACTATACTACAAAACACATTGTATTTACTATACATTTTAAAATGACACAATACAAAATATATCATGCTTTAAGACATATTAAGGAAAGCAGACCAGGCACAAGATTTTTAAGATACATGGAGAGGCTGAACAGTTAAAATTGCTTGTGATCATTTTTTTTTGACAGAACAACAGAATATCAGCATGTATTTTAATATAAGAATAAGGTTGAGAATTGAACTCTATAAGTGAATAAGAGCTTTCTCAGGGCGTGCAACATGAGGCTGACTAGGCAGCAGACAGTTTGAAAGCATAATGTAAAATCATACAGTATAACTACAATCCTTAAACATCTACAATACTGTAAATGTAGAAATGCTAAGGAATATTCTTTATCTTACTTTTAAAGCTTCAAAAATGAACTCAATGAATAAATGAGAAAATATTTAATGCTTTCTTTAAGCACAAAATAAAACCATAATATAACATTTAAAATAAGATCTTCCAGAACAGAAAAAGGGTTACAAATGAATGAACGATACCCATCCCGTCTTGCTCATTGCTACTTACCACCGCAACCAACTGAACCTCAACTACAATACCTGTTAATTCACTGGCTACCATAATTACTGACATGGTAGAAGATCAAACCCATCTGCACTCAATTACAGTTCACTTTCCTCATTCACCACCAAAAAAGTAAGATTAGTTTTCACGTCAGTTTCCAGTCAGAGCTCTGTCTCAAGTTTTGGCATTGTCTGTGCTTTGCCCTAGTTTACTTTGCTTTGCCTCTGGATTTCCAGTGTTTTCCACTGTCTACTGCTGGCTATAAACTTTCCTTTGTATTCCCTCGGACTCACCTTTGGATTTCCCTTTGGTGCTTTTCTCTGTGTATCTTCCTTGCTCATGAAAACACATGACTTTTGAGGATCTCGCCTGTATTGTTGAATCAATATTTCCCCGGCCTGTCATCTGCCCTCTCTGCTTCTCACAGCTGCAGACTGCTGCTCCGACTTCAGATAAAACTACTGTATGACTATCTCCTTCAATATAATTTTTATAAAGAAAATCGTTTCATGAAGTGCTTTCCCCCAAAAAGTACATAGATTATTATCCTGATTGCAGAGATTTCCCCAAAAACACAGCTACATCTGAGCACTTCCACATTGTGAGAGAAACGGACCCTAATACTCCATGAGTGCAAAAATAAATTTGGGGACGTACAGTAAGTAGGACATATTAGAAAATATCTGCATCTGGTCAAACAAATGCTGTGATTAAGTTTAAAATTGCCCAACAGGTGTTCAGTGGTCCTAAAGCCTAGCTTCACATTATTTTACAAAGTATCCCAAGAAATATCTTCATTTTTAGGAAGTAGAGTTTGTACCCGTTTGAGATGTACAGTATAGTAAAGTATATCCTGTATTTTATGCGAGGTTTGAAATGTCCCACAGAACCCCATTAGTCCATATTGCTAAACAAAGACGTAAAGACATTCCCTGTAAATTACAGTGATAGGAGATCTTAAAATGTACAAACATAATTATGACAAATTAAATTATGATTGTAAAGCCTCATAACAGACCACTAAGGGAAAACAAAAGGACAAGAGCCAGATACAAGAGCTTCATTCACTTTGTTGTTTTAGAGATTTTGTACCAATTACAAAACTACAATCTGCTAAGAAATAATAGTAATAAATCGTGGCTTACATTGCCAGATTTACTAAAGTCAGGGGATAATAGTTAACATGTAAAAAGGAGTCCTTTTCTTTCATAGCAGTAAGGAAATAATGGTGCTGTTGGTGTATCAGGTGATGTTCTTGCCTATAACTGTGTGCATCACCTGAAGCAGTGAGGATCTGAGAATCTGACAGTCTGTTACTTATATTTCACTGAAATCGGTATATGCCAAAGCCAAAAACATTGTTACATATTTCACAATCCCTTTCCTTAATAGTATGCTTAAAACTGTCCTAGCATCACTCAAACCAAATCAGAGCCAAATTAGGACTAAGAACCTAAATAATGATGACATTATAGTGTATTATACTGTATACAGTAAGTTTCGTCTTTTTAACATTTGATGGACAATTATTTATCTTTTGTTTATGTTTATACTGTACTGCTTCAGAAGCCTTTTTCCATTTTCATAAAGTTTGCATCCCACAGTGTGAAGTAATTTGACATCTTAAATAACTCTGTCAAAATATAACTCTTCATATCTACAAATGAACAAAATAACATTTCTTCATATCTAGTACTATTAAAAGACTGGTGCTATAAGGAGATGTCAGATTTTTTAAATGGTTGATTATTATACACCTGGGAGTAACATCAACTCCTAGATGCAAGGACATAAAAACTGTCAATTTTACTTAATGCTAAGCAGTGAAAAGAAATATTATATTAGATTATTATATTTGTCTTAGAAAGATGAGCATTTCATAAAAATCAGATTCAATTATAATCACAAAACAGGTAGAAGTGTCTACACACGGTATTAAAAAAACAACTAACAGCTTCTGACATGTTACTGTTGTACAGTAAATACTGTAAGTAGACACATATAACTTTGTACACTTAATAGAGAGTGCAGTTAGATATCATTTTGAGATAAGAATAGGTCTAATAAAATGTTTATTATTATTATAAAACAAATAAAATTCTAGTTCATACTGTACCACCTTTAAATTCCTTGGTGTCCTCTTGATGTGTTGTGAATTTACTATATTAATTCAATGTACTGTATAATGGTAAAATTGCCAAAAGAAAGACTATTTTGCTTATTTTTTCAGTATCAACCTAACTTGCTTGCATCTGTCCCTCTATCGTCGTGCCAGATATGCTGAGTCTACAGCTTCTGAATAACAATATTGGGCGTGAAGCCCATCATGATGTGGATGAAACCACTGAACCTTATTTATCTATTTAGAGATAATTGAATCTACTGTATCCAACCACTCCTCCTTTAACATTCCAGAATGAAATCAACAGTTTTCATTAATCTCATCTTGCCACCATCCTGGGACATGAATTATCAGGCTGATTACCCCTTTTCAGTCTGCAAAATGGAATGGAAGTAACAGAGCTAAAGTGACAACCTCATGATAAGCACAGCCCCCACTGGCAAGGCCTCAGATGCCTGTTCATTCACAAGAGACAAGCAGATTGCAACTCCAATTGCCCTGCTGGCACTTTGGGCCAATGTCTGTTATGCTGCTGGGTCCAAGGTGTTATGAGCAAATGTTGCCATATGAACTCAACTTCTTCGAACCTCAGCTTCTTTGCTTCATTGCTTCATCTTGCACTGTACCCAGGAGGTAAATTACCAATTACACTATTATCAAACCCCACTGTCCTTGCTAGCGTTATTGAAAAATGTTTAATGGATTACTACTAAAAATGATCTATTAGTAATGTTATTACTGAGGAGGATTAGATTGACTGATACATTATATTTTTACCAATGTAATCAATTTACAACGTAAAAGCTGAAGCCTATGAAATTTGCCATCCTGTTTACACTATTTCTCATTTACAGGTGAGACATCCTGTACAGTACAGTATTCATGTCAGAAAATCCATGAGGAGCTTGAACTTGTGAAAATAAACCTCACTGTAGATCATATGACATAATGGTATAAGAGTTTAAGTAAATCAAAAGGCATAATCTTGTGTTATGGAAGATATATCAGAAATATCAGAAATTTAAAAAAAATATTTTTTACCTCAAAAGGGTGAGAATACTGTCTAAAATAGTAGATTGGCAGGTGCTGTTCTGATTATACTTTTTTAAAGTTATCATTCAGGTAAACATCCACTGTTCATACTTGTTTTTCAAGAAGTTAATAAATGAGTGAAATGTGGCAAAGTTGGATTATTTTTAAATCTCAAAATACAGTACATGATGTTTTTCCACCACAGAATAAAATACACCACTCAAATATAAAATAGTACAAGGCTATTTTCTGTTTGTTTCACATAGAGAGTAACAATGTTTAATGTGAAGTAACAATGTTTCCTGTT